GTTTAAACTTAGTTTTGCTGCTTGTTGGCTTTCCACCAGAGCTGTACAAAAATGCCCTCTTCCCAAATATTGAACCTGCTCAAGAAGGAGAATGTTTGCCCCGTGCTTGAGGCTGAACTGACATTGGAAGTTCTGTTGAAATTATACACAAATTAAAAGGAAGAGGGAAATTATTTGTTCTCCTTGACTTAAGAATTTTAAACTGTAAAGTTGGTGAGTTTTAAAAACCTGTGGCTGCCCCTGGATCCCTGGAAGTGTCCAAGGCCAGGTTGGAGCCACCTGGGCTAGTGGAAGGTGTCCCTGCTCATGGCAGGGGATTGGAATTGGATGATCTTCAATGTCCCTTCCAACCCAAACCATCCTGGGATTCCCTGATTCTGTAGTTGCTGTTCCAGTGCAAACATTCAGCTCCTAAATTTTCCACAATCCCACAGCCCTTAAACCTGGAGAAGGGGATCTGTGGCTTCTTTGGGAACACGACAAACATGATGCTGATCCCAAATTCCTGGTGTTTTGCTCAGGGCTCAATATATAGAAAGATCCAGGTGACTGGAAAGGTGAGGGAGGGATATATTGGCTTTATATATTGGCTTTTCCTGCTGAAACCACGATGTACTTTCAATTTTCCACTGTGATTTTACAGGTGAGCCTCAGTTGTTGTACAAAGCAGAACTCACTACAAACTAGTCCAGTTTTTTTTCCTTTCATTCCCATGAATTATTCCTTATACAGATCCTCACATCTGTTGTAAGTAGAACAGAAGAACGTGTGAGTGTTTAGTTTTCAGATCCCTGTTAATTTGTCCATTCAACACACGGGATTTCCCTGGGAACAAAGCACACACATGCTGGAAAACCAGCAATTCTGGAATTCCTCACTCTTTTCTCTCTGGAAGTTGACAGTCAGGCTTATTTATTTATTTATTGTAACCTCCAGTGGTTTTGGTGCTACTTGGTGGCATTTTATTATTCAGCATTTGAAATAATGCACCAAACCTGCCGTGTTTGGTGAATCTTTTGCCCAGTTTGTTTTATTTTGAGCATCATCCTTGGTTGCCTGTGCATAGCTCAGGTTTATATATGTCTAAATTGATTATGTTCCAGTATGTCAGTAGTGTCAATTTAACAAGATAATTTCCCTAGTAAATAATAAAAAAATTGTTTGTTTCTAAGCAAGTATTTCTATTTTCTGTTGGTAGCAACAGGCCCTGCCTGTGTTCCCCAAAGGTCAGTGACCTGAATTATGTTCAGCTCTGACAGCAGCCATGAGATGGGCAGGGATTTCTCTGGATTTCAGGAGTGTGACTTGAAAAATTACCAAATAATCTTTTCACAGAGAAAAAAACCCAAAAACTTGAAGAACTTTGCTGTGATTAGTTTGGAAAAGGTGCCTTGTTGAATCTGATAACACAGTGATACTGAACAAGGAAAATAAACCTCTACATGAAATGTTTTAATTAGTAAAATGTAAAAAGGAAAACCCTCCCCAGCAGACTTTCCTTTTAATTAAATTTTCATGTTAGTAATGGTTTTTGCACTTTAACTTTTAGGGTTTTAGAAGTGGGATTGCTCTGAAACCAACTTTGATCTGCAGTGAACCTATTGACTGTGGTGGGTATCGAGTGTTTTGAAGGGAGCAATGGATGCTCCCAAGGAATGCAGGGAATAAAACATCAGTCCTCAAGGAGGCCAAAGGCAAACCAGGCTCGTGGTGTGAGCAAATTCAGAGAACATGAAGGATTTATTATTTATTGTTATTATTCAGAGTCACCATCTTTATAATATTGTAGAGCGTGATTTGGGATAAACCTGCTCAGCACCTTTGATGTGTCTAAATAAACATTTTATAACTCTACACTTGGAATTACTCCTGAACATGGAGTGGCTCTGGATAGGTAACTCCATCCCCTGTATTTTGGGGAGATCAAAGGAGCATTGTGTGGGTAGGAAAGATGAAGAGTAGAAAGCAACAGTGATTAAAAAAAGGAAATAAAAGCACGAGGTAAAGTGTCACTGTGGTGGCTTCAGACACAGCTGATTTCTAAGAACTCTCTTTGTTTAAATAAAAAAAAAAAAAGCCTTCAGCTTTTATTCTTTCAATAATGTGCTTTTTAACACTTTTCTTGTCATCTCCTCCTTCCTCTCCTCCTTCATTGCCAATTTTCTGTCCTACACCAGTAAGCAGATGAAACTGGGTTCTTGAAGCCCAGTAAATGTTATTGCTGAGGGGATCCTTCCAGTCCTGATCTGACAGACTGTGTGATGAGGAGGGTTTTCTCCTGCCTCCTCTTACCATCAATTTATTATCTAAAAGGCCTTTTGGGCACCCTTGGCAGTGCAGAGACCCAGCAGAAGACACTCAATGACTGAGTTTAACGTTCTACCCCTGCAGTTTGGTCGTATCTGTTAAAAAAATCAACCCCAAATTGTTACCATTTCATGTTGTGTGTGTGTGATCCTGTTACAGTCACGGGAACTCCCCGGGTTTGGGCTCTGCAAGGGTTTTAAAATCACTTTTATGTCGTGGGTCCCTTCTTAGAAAACAGGGCTGCACCAGCCACCTGTGGGGCTGAATTCCACAGGGGATCTGCAGCTCTCCAGAATGGGATAATTATTGGAGAGTTGGAAGGAGGCTGATGAAATGCATTGGTTTGGGATGGATGTGTTTTCCTGGTTAGCTCTGGGATGGATGGATGGATTGATTCCCTGTTAATAATCTGTTCAGGACTTTCTGTCACAGCAGCAACTCTTCCTTAGTGTTGGTGGCTCTGAGAGTGTCTTTTAAATTCTAAAATAACTCAGGGCTGTGCAGTTACCTCTCCAGCTGCTCTGGGAGCTGAGCATTCCCACTGTGGAATGGGCAGGAGAGAGTGTTTGAAGCTCCACAATTTATTTTGGCTGAAAATCATCTGCTTTGCTCAAACTCTTCCTGTTGATAGTTTGAACTAAGCTGGGTTAGAACCTGAAACTGGTGGGATGGGAGGTGGTTGTGCTGCTGGGAAAAGATTCCCATGATCCTTGTGTCCGTGGGTGCTTCAATTCAAAGGGAAAACCAAAGTCTGTTGGGCAGAGGGAGCTTTCAAAAACAGGAGTGTGGCTCTGAAACCTTGAGACACCCGTGTGGGATGGACAGAGCTGGTGCTCCAGGACATGGAACTGCTGGAGAGAGTCCAGAGGAGGCACCAGGAGGATCCCAGGGATGGAGCAGCTCTGCTGGGAGGAAAGGCTGGGAGAGCTGAGATTGTTCAGCCTGGAGAGGAGAAGCTTTGGGGTGACCTGATTGTGGCCTGAAGGAGCTCCAGGAAAGATGGAGAGAGAGAGACTATTTCCAAGGGATGGAGGGGCAGGACAAGGGGGAATGGCTTCAAAGTGACAGAGAGCAGGGTTAGATGGGATATTGGGAAGGAATTGTTGGCTGTGAGGGTGGTGAGGGGCTGGGATAGAATTCCCAGAGAAGCTGTGGCTGCCCCTGGATCCCTGGAAGTGCCCAAGGCCAGGTTGGATGGGGCTTGGAGCAACCTGGGCTGGTGGAAGGTGTCCCTGCCCATGGCAGGGGGTGGCACTGGATGGACTTTAACATCCTTTCCGACACAAACCATTCCATCATTTTATTGTTTGTTTAAGTAGGAATTTGCTCTTCCTTTTGAATACCTGGAGATGCCTCTGCTGAGCTTTAGTGGGACCGAGCTCAGTGTGTCTGTGGGATGTTTTTTACCCTCAGCACAAGTACCAGACCAAACCTTTTACCCAAATTGAGGCAATTTAGGCACGAAAGTGCCTGATTTGTAGGATCTTGTGCAGCCTTATGCTGTACTCACCAGCTTTTCCAAGTCCTTGCCTCCTGTGGCTGTGGCAGTGACTTTCTGGGGCTCTGTGGAACAGCAAAAATCTAATTCCTGATGTGGGATGGGCAGGTTTTTTCCCCCAGGACACCGAGAACTCACCTGCTCATAAAATACCCCCAAAACCACAGCAACACGTGCTCCTCCACGGATCCAAAATCAGCTGTTCCTTGTCTTCCTGGCCCCCCTTTCCCATTTGTGTGGCACAGGGACAAGCCCAGTGTGATGGCAGAAAGGCCAACTGGGCTTGGGGGGGTTTGGGCAGGGCTTAAACACTCCTTGTTGGGGGGAAATGGAGCGAACGGCGACGTTTTCTGCTCAAATTGCAGCGTCTTAAGTGCATTTTAGGCTGGACACACTTCTGGAAGTTACATATTTCAGGAGGTGTTTAAATAGTAATAACTCGACTGTCCAGTTTCAGCTGGTAATTTGCAGAGTTCTCTAAAATCTTCAGTAATTTCTGAGCGGTTTTGATGCTTCCCTAGGTTGCAGAGTGATAAAAAACCATTGGAGGACAAACGAAAAGCCAATACTTGAGACATACTTAGACCAGGTTTAGTTGTTGGGTGTTTTGTTTTGGGCTTGGTGGTTTTTTGGGGGGTTTGGTTTTTTTTTTTTTGGCATAATTTTGCTCTTCTTTTGAACTTCTCTTGGAGTTCTCTTCCTAGAAACTCGTGTCTTTATATCTCTTTATCTTATAGAAAGTATAATTCTGTTTTTCAGTAAAATAATTTCATCAGGACAGGAGGAAAAATGGACCTTTACATTTATGGATTTATATGCATTTATAGCTTGTCAATTCACTAAAATCCCACAAGTTGAGTCATGTTTTATAAACATCATCCTGAGTTTCTGTAAAAATCTACAGATTTAAGGGCTTGGCAAAGATGGATGACCTTGATTTTCATAAATTTTCACTAAATGACCAGTTGAAATTTAAGTTAATCCTTGAAATTTTGACACTTAATGGGTTTTTTTAACAACAGATATCAGGGGGAATTAAGTCTTGGTAATTTCTCCTTTTACTGTTGGAAAATTTCATTTTCTCTCTGAACTTCTTGGTTTAGCTCCGGGGTTGTTGCTGAGATCCGGGGTTGGACTGAGCTCCTGTGGCTCCATGGGATGGAAGTTTATCCCTGTTTTCCTCTTCCTTTTGCAGTGTTGTTTGCTGCTGGACTCCCCCTGTCCCCACAACCCCGCAGGATGATATGAGACTTGAAAGAAGACGATGCATACAGGTAAAAGCTGATTTTTCAAGGCTTTTTAGAAGGGAAAAGAGTTGATGTTTTCATGTGCTTTTTGTTTCTTCTCCGTTCTCTACACCCCTAAAATTCCAAACTTAGCAGAATATTGAAGAACCTTTGAAATTTTGAACCTTTTTGAGTTTCGAAATCTTTCTTTGCCCTTTGGAAAAACTCTTCTGCAGCTTTGGAAACTCTTCTCCCAGGAACAAAATGGTTTCACTGAATGGAAATAACTGTTTGCAAAGTTTTATGCTTTGAAAGGGTTTGCTTTTGAAGATGTGCTGGTTCTTGGGGATGTCCCATGCAAGAAAAAGTTGTTACCCCTTCTTAAAATTGATGTTTTAGGAAGTTCTTCCATTTTTGCCTACTTAAAATCCTCTAAGTGACAGATGTATTTGCAGATTCAACAGATAATTTTTAGTGATACTCTTTTGCTGGAAAAATAATTCATATTTTCTATAGAAATAGAATAAAATAAGAGTTTATCCAAGAGGGTTGGTGGAGTTCTTTATACCAAAATACCCATTTTTTTGAAGCAGTTCTTGGGGCCAAACACACCTAAGAGGGGATCCTTGGGGTTGCTTGTTCAGCTTTAAAGCCCAAGGAATCCTCAGGGCTGGGAAAAAAAAAACCTGGGTGGATTTACGTGTGCATCCAGATCATCTCCTGATTGACAGTTTTCAGTTGCATCAGCTGTTCCTGCATAAACAGCTTTGCAGGGTATATTTACAGGGAGCCTCTTGGATTAAGCCCAAGATGCTGCAAGTGGAGATTTCACTCAGCGAGAACTAAACATCCTTCATCCCCCACTTGAGTGGCTGGGAGTTGTGTGTTGATAACTCCAGTGAAACTGGGGTCTAAAGGCTTCTAAAATTAGCTTGGGCCAAGAAGAGAAGAAAGAAAAACTAATCCAAAGGGATAATTAATTTGTTTTAAATACCTAAAGCATTTAAAAGTTCTCCAAGTTGCAGCTTTGGGTGGCCCATCGAGTTTGGGGAGCTCTGTTTAGTAGTCACATGGTTCAAGCATAACTTAAATATTGAGAGAATGTTTTGAAAAGCTTTCAAAGTGTTCATCCTACAACTGAAAGGAGAGATAATGGTATGAAATAGTGTTTGAGAGAATTAAATTTCAAATTGCAGTGCATTAATCTGATTCAAAACTTCCAACTGGAAGCACTTTCAGTTTTGGTCAAGATTTCTGATGATGTTGAACTTGGAGGATGATGAGCTTAAAGAACAGAAATATAGACAAGATTTTGAAATTTTAAGTCGTAATTCTGTCTTCTGCAGCCCAAATTCTTTATTCACAAGTCCCATGATAAATACAGCTTGAAAAACAGTGGTGCCCTGACAAAATCCTTCAGGCTTCTGACGTGTTAGAAGTTAGACCAGTAAGATTATTTTCAGTTTTCTCTTTGTTAGGAGAGCCAATGTTGGGGTGCTGAGTTCCTGAGAATAAACAAGATTTGCAGCCTTAGAATGAAAACCTGAACTGGGATTATGTTGTAGGGCAGTAACAAGAGTCATCTGGTGACTCTGCTGAAGTTCAAAGGAGCTGGTGAGAGCTCAGACCTGGAATTGAGATGTTTTGTGGTTACTGGTGATGGTTCTTTTGCATTTTCAAGGAGGTTTCTTGAGGGTGAGGGATCAGAGGCGCCTGGTGGTGTCTGAACTACCTTTGGCTAAAGGGTGAAAGCTTCTGATGGGCATCACTTTATTTCCCTGCAAGCTGACCTACTCTAAACCCCTAAAATCACCCACAGCATAACTGGGGGAAACAATACTATGGAGGAAGAGGATTTTTTCACTTTTTCTATCGTGGAATACTTACATTTCAGATTGAAAACACAGAAATGTGCTAAAAAAAACCAACCAAACCCTGAAAATGCGAAGAAATGGGGATATTGAATGTTGTTTTCCAATATGAATAACCAGGAAAACAAACAAGGCCAAAGGCACCTGGTTTGGGTCAGGAATAGTGTGGGCACAGCCCAGGGCAGGGATTGTCATAGAATCACAGAATCAGCTGGGTTGGAAAGGACCTCTGAGATCATCAAGTCCAACCCTTGATCCAACCCCGCCGTGGTTCCCAGCCCATGGCACTGATGCCACATCCAGTCTCACCTTAAAAACCTCCAGGGATGGAGAATCCACCACTTCCCTGGGCAGCCCATTCCAATGGCTGATCACCCTCTCTGGAAAGAAATTCTTTCTAATATCCAACCTAAACCTCCCTTGGCACAGCTGAAGACCCTGAGCCCTCTTGTCTTGCTGAGAGTTGCCTGGGAAAAGAGACCAACCCCCCCCTGGCTCCCCCCTCCTGTCAGGGAGTTGCAGAGAGTGAGGAGGTCTCCCCTGAGCCTCCTCTTCTCCAGGCTGAACAGCCCCAGCTCCCTCAGCCTCTCCTCACAGCACTTGTGCTCCAGTCCCTTCCCCAGCCTCGTTGCTCTCCTCTGGACCTGCTCCAGCCCCTCAATGTCCTTCCTGAGCTGAGGGCCCAGAACTGGACACAGCACTCCAGGGGTGGCCTCACCAGCGCTGAGTCCAGGGGCAGAATCACTTCCTTGGACCTGTTGGCCACACTGTCCCCCTGTGCTGGCACTGGTGAGGGACCTCCAGGGCTGTGTCCAGTTCTGGAACCTCATGGAAGAGAGACATGGAGGGGCTGGAGTGTGTGCAGGGAAGGGAGCGGAGCTGGGGAAGGGGCTGGAGCAGCAGGAGGGGCTGAGGGAGCTGGGGGGGCTCAGCCTGGAGCAAAGGAGGCTCAGGGGGGACCTTCTGGCTCTGCAACCCCCTGACAGGAGGGGGGAGCCGGGGGGGGGTCGGGCTCTGCTCCCAGGGAACAAGGGACAGGAGGAGAGGGAACGGCCTCCAGCTGTGCCAGGGGAGGCTCAGGTTGGATTCTGGGAAAAATTTGTTGCTGGAAAGGGTGTTCAGGCCTTGGCAGGAGCTGCCCAGGGAGCTTTGGAGTCCCCACAGTGGACATGGTGCTTGGGCACGAGTGGACCTGGCAGGGTTTGGACTCAATGATCTTAGGGCTCTTTTCCAGCCTTACTGATTCTATGATTCCATGATTCCATGTTACCTTGCAGGCTTTTTAGAATCTATCCTGGCTTTCCCAGAAACACTCTGCAATAAGCAAAGCTGGGGCTCAGCTCCTTGTAGGAAAAGCCAAGTTTGTGTTTCAGATGCCCAAGTTGTGATAACACAGGGAATGTGTTATCAGGTAACGCCTGAGAATGTGGTTTGTGACAAAAAAATATTTCCAGAATGGGAATTTTTCACTTCTTTGTACTTTGAAAGTCTCTCCAGGACATTTTGGGAAGGGAAGGAACCTGACAGTTGTGGTTGTAGTTATGCTGGTAGTTATCCTAGCAATGGGATTGTGCTGTGTTCCCACACAGAAGGATTCACCTTGTGATTAAAATTCCGTGTTCCAAACTTATTGCTACATCTTATCCTGCTCCTTTTAATCCCAGTGGAACTCTGTGGTTGGTTGTTATTTTTTTTCCCCTCCTCTTTATGGAGATTCCTTATAAAAATCCTCTGGTTTTATAACAGCTTTTTGGGTTTGACTTTTTGACCTGGGAATATGTATCTAAAAATGTTGAGTTGTCTGATTTTTAAGCTTTTGAAGAGCTCAAATCTTCTTTTCTTAACCTTTGTAAGAAAACAGAGTAACATAATATCAAATTATTCTCATCGACGTGGTAAATGCACCAGAGGTGTTGAGAACCAAGCAAATGTGATGGTGCATTGTTTGATAAAATATTGGAGGTGCTCTTATTGCTCCTAACTTTAAAAAATTCAACTATTCATGTTTGGAAAAGAAGAAAAAAAGCCAATCCAACGTTTTCAATTAGAACAGTGCAAGAGCAATGAAATAATCAATATTTGCACAGATACCTGTCTTCCCCCAGCTGTATTACTTCCTAAAATATAAGAAATCCAGAGTAATAATTCCTGGGAAGTTCTGGGATTGGGTTGAGTTTACAATCTGCAAGTGTTGGTTTTATGGAAGAAAAACCTGAAAATTTCGAATTGGGCCACGTCTCTCACGTCTCATATTGCTAATATTTTAGCCACTGATTTCACTGAGCCTGTAGCTGTTTTAAAGAATGTTTTTATATGTGTCAGTAGTAAAAAAAAAACCCAAAACAAAGCAGGAAAAAAAAAACAACCTGTCAGAATAAACTGTGTCCCTGTTGCTGCTCCGTGTTTTGAACCCCAGCCCTGCCTTTGAACTGGCTCAGGCAGAGCTACTTTTTTACCAGGGAATTCCAGAAAATCTCTGGGCTATCCCTATCCCTTTCCTATATCTTTTTCTGGTTCCCATGGAGTAATTGCACCCCTGGAGTGTGTTTTGTGAGGGGAATGTTGTTGGCATAAACCCGGAGCTGGGTTGGGAAGGAGCAAACGGGTGCCCCGTGTGCTCATTCCCTCCTGGAGCACTGGGTTTGTTTCTGGTGTGTGGCTTTGATTCCGGAGGGAATCTTGATTCCAGTCAGAATCTTGTCCCTCAGTAACTTGTTCACACGTTGAACTCTGTTTTTCAGGCAGTTTTTGGTGGATATTCAGGTCTTGGCCGAGCAGAAGTTTGACATAAACACAAGATCCCGATAAAATAATGGATGAACCGGGGCTGCTCATTAGGAGGGGAAGTTTTAAATATAACCAGCTAATGAGGACTTGGATGTTTGCAGGGTTAACCACTATTTTTCCATGGATAAATCCCTTTTGCAGGAGTGGTTGGTGCTGTGTTTCTGCCTGGGTTTTGTGAGAAATCAGCCAGGAAGGAGTCCTGGGTGAAGTTACTCAGTGAAGGGCGACATTTCTCATATTGAAAGTGGAAGTTCTGCTTTTCAGAGAAGGAGTCATTGACCTCAATGAATGATAACCTTGAAGTCAAGAGACTAAATTAGTGCTCCACTTTCTGTATTTGAGATCAGGAAAGTGAAAACCTGGACAGCTAAAGTTAGATTCGTGCATCCA